TTACAGCAGCTCTGTAAAACAGGAAGGAAAAAACTTCCTAATTCCCCAGCTCGGCAACCAAGCAGCAGCTAATTGGCTTTTGCAAGGCCATGTGGCAAACTGCATGTGTACCAGGGAAAGAAGCCAAGTGCTTCAGGGTGGTACTTCAGCCACAGAGCAAGTACCTTTTTCTTGGAATAGAATGATTTTGCTTTTTTAAATAATAATCTGGAGAATGAGTTGTCAGCATCCTAAGGATGCACATGTGTGTGGATGGATGTTGTGATGGGCTCTAAAGGGGACAGAAGTCACCTAGAGCTTGCTCTGTCTGACTGATGGACCTTAAAACCCACAACCCAGGTTTGACAGCCAGCTTCTCTGGGCAGTGCTCCAGAGGTCACTGATCCCTATTTTGGAAGCCAGCGCGCTCAGCACAGAGCTGCCCAGAAATGCCTGAGCTGGCCAGAGACAAAAAGCTGAGCCCCTGTCTCACCGCTTTCCTTCAGAGAGAGGTAAGTGTTTCTCTCCACTGAGATCACAGCTAGAAAGCCTTTCTCCTACAATCACATTTTCCCGTCTTGAGAAAACACAAAGAGGAGATGCTCCCCTCCGTCCACCAGCCAATAATCCGTGGGTTAACTGGCTCTTGATAGGATTTTAACACAAGCTAGATATTGGAGTGCACAGCTCTCTAAAGATCTCAGCTAACTCTGACCATGCCAGGAACGTTTAGAAAGATTTATTGATAGACAATTAAACACCTAGAGAATTAAAGCACAGTGGCTAGGTGGCAACCAAGCAAGAGGACTGAGATCTTGTTACTTCCTAGGCAGTTAGATGCTCGATCTTTCATGTACCACATGCCCTCCCCACACTACAAAGCCTTCCAGTCTCTTGATATTGCACTTGCTGCTCAGAAGGCCTCTAAAAGTTTTAACTATTGTCAAAACTGTGGTGTGATGAAGTGTTGCTGTGTGCGATAGCAGTCAGCTAAAAGGTTCAAAATGTTGAATGACCACATTATCATTAGCATCTTCTAAAGAGTCCAGTATTTTCAGATCTAGTGCAATCAGGTTTTTATTTATACTTACTAGCTTTGATAGTAAGTGGTATATAATAAAGATGCAATCATTCAAAGTTTAGTGAAAAGATACGTAAGAACTGTCACAGTGTCTATGACTCTGTTGAGAGGAAATAGCTGTAACCAGCTAGTTTATTTTCTTTGACCAGGCTGCATGGTGGTAGATTACAAATTCATTTACTCTAATGCACAGATGCATGGCTAAAACCAAATTTCCTTAGCAACTAAAAAAAGACTGGCTCAGTCCCACAGATCCTTGTAGGAAAACTTTGCCTCACACAAGTCAGTTGTTCCACTGGCATGACGAGGGGCTGATTGCATGTGCAAGGGTTTCCAGAGCTGAGCAGTAGGGCTGCTTTCTTTCAATTGGAAAGAAAACTGAGATATTGTCCTGCCTTGGTCTTACACCATAAAGAAACGGACTCTTTGATTATTTTTGTTCTGCATTTCACCCCCCAAAAAATAAGAAGGGGGAAGAAGGCAAGGGAAACGGCTTGCGTATTTTTTTTCTGCATCTGGCTGTAAACTTGGTGAGTGACAAACTGTACACAAGGAGCTGGAAATATCCCATGGACAAAACACAATGCAATCTCCTGCAGGCATTACATGGCAAGTTTGGTGATATCATCTCTGAATTAAATGGATGATGTAAAAAGAAGATTCAGTCGGCAAGCAGAGAAGGTTGCAAAAATTAAATGCAATTCAATGGTGAAACATTTCAGTTTTGAAGGCACTACATTAAATTATGCAGCCGTACATCAAACTAACTTTCAAGTCAAAGTGACCTTTGCTTAAGGTATATTGAAATAATCTTAGTTTATGAAATATTTGTTAGGGGAAAGAAAAAAAAAACACAAAAACACACCGACATGTGACACCCATAGATTTTGCCATTTAAGATACTTGTCTTATTAAATTAAAACATACATCCCGTTCATTAGCAGCAAAGGAAGCACAGGAGTGCATACAGTTATTGTGATCACACTGCAGTGTTAAATTACCTGAACTAGAACTGCAGTAGTAGATTTCTTTTAGAAAAAAAAAAAGGATGCTCAAATAGACACAGGCTGTAAGATTACCTTTAAAATGTTTTACTGTAGACTGTAGACCTAAAATAGCTTCCTAGCTTAAAAAAAAAAAAAAAAAAAGAGAAGGGGAGGGAAAAAAAGAGGGGGAGAGAGAGAGAACATAATTTCAAAACCCTTAGCTTATTTTTAATTTATAGTCCTTGGAAAAAAAATAAGTGGATAGCCCAATCATTTATATGCCTGGGCAAAAGCAATACATCTATATAAAAGTACAGTGATATATTTCTGTTGCTAGTTTAATGTGCTGCTCTGTGCCCTGCGTGTTCTGATTCATTGGAGAGCAGCAATCATGTCGACAGGAGCTGTTCTTCAGTTCCCATCAGCGACAACTAAAGGCCAATTCAAGGTTGTGGTGGGGTCATGAATCTAACACAGTCACTGATAGAACAATTTCCCTTCCACATGACACCGTCAGTAGGACACAGAGGGAATATACAGCCAGGACTGCAGCAGGTATGTCTTGTTATTCTCATCCCTCCTCTCCTCCCCGTCCTTTTTTAGTTTTAATTTTTGGCACTGGGCTGTGCTGTTAAGATGCCTCTGGGGAATACACAATCAGGAAATAAGAAGAGGAAAATCTTCTCACCCTTTAAGAAACCAGCATCTTCCCGGCTCTGTGCAGGGCAACTCAGCAATACAAGCTCGGTTTGAAATCTGGATCTACCCCAAGACAATATGAGATGTATGTACATGCCAGCCTTATAAGTGAGAAAAGTGCTGGACCAAGCTCTGCAGTGACCTCACCTCTGGTACAGCACCTTTTGAATTAAATAAAAAGTCATTTCGGTCTGGATTGAACCCCACCAGAGTCCCTAGCCTTTCACAGTATGAAACTTGGACCTGAATTTTGCCTGACACCACTATTCTTTTCACACATTCATAGATGATCCTTCCAGGGGACTTGGCACAAGCCTCTAACAAGCCCCAAGAAAAGAGCCAGCTCCCACTATTGTTTCTGCTGTACATGTCCCATGGAGAGCAGATTTTGGACCAGATGAGTAATGTTTAATTCTTGTACCACTATTAGTCATCACAGGAACACACAGATCTGACATGTTAGCATCATAAGGCTGAGCCCAGCAAATTCTAACCACTGGGTGTGGGGCTCATGTTGAGGAGAAACTGCATTGCAGCTGGTAGAAACAGCGAATGCGGTAAGCATCACGCTTTGAAAAAGTACTTCCAGTACCTTAAGTCTCCAGACTGTATGGATTTCTGCCTTCCATATTAGAAAAAGCAGACCTATAAAATGTGCATTTCTGGATTTTGTTAGAAAGAGACCACATATATTTTGTTCACAATGAATGATGAATGTCCAAATGATGCTAGGAAGAGCGGCACAGCACTAGTTAAAAAATCTAAAAGTGTCAGCTCCAGCAATATGCTCAGTTATACTCAAAGCTTTGTGTTTCTCACATCTAGAATGTCAAGAGCCTAGTTATATCTGTAGTGAATACAGACAGGGTCAAGTGTTTTTGGACTGAATTTTCCTCCCTCGTGCATTATACTTGTTCCCACCCTGAGCAAGGCCACACTGCAGAGGTCTCTGAGCAGGCCACAAGTGGCCTTGGCCTGGCTGAGGCTCAGCCTTGCCCTAGAGGGGAAAAGACCCAAATCAGCCTGCTCCCTTGGGACTTTTTCTCAGGTTTTTCATGAAAATAAGGGCATTCTCACCTTGTTTTAGGCTGCTTCAGAGTGAAATGATCCTAGTCTGTTATTTCCCTTTGATCCCCAAGACTGTATCAATGACAGCCTGTATGGGAACATAAACACAATCCATTTTAAGTATCTAAACAGAATTTAGGTTGTCTCCTCCCCTCTTCTGCTATGGCCTTCAAGACTTTTTGAACCATTGGCATTTTGCAGATCAACATCTAGGACTTAAATCCAATTGGTTTGCAAGCTGGTGCCAGGATCCTCAGCTGGAGGAGCGTGCTGGGTTCCATGTCGGTAATGCGATGCACCCAGCAAAGCCTCACCCCCACCAAAGCCTCAGTACACTGAGCAGCGTTGTAACATATACTGATGGTATTTCAGTGCCGTACACAAAATCAGCACGTAGTCTTGCAAACGCACCCCTTGTACCACTGGCATCATGATGAGAGTCCACATGGAGGCTGGGATGAAGGACCTTGTTCTGAGCACTTTTTAATCAGTAGCAAAGGTGTGAGGAGGAGTCGTTACTCTTCTGCAATGGGTGGTTTCATGGGCATTGCAAGTACATTTACTTACACCCTGATACTAAACCAGGACACCAAATGAAGGAAGATGTTGCTTTCCCAGTGCTAAGGACTCCTCTACAACTCTCCAAGTCCTGTCTGGATTTGAATATGTCTGTGAAGCTCCAGATAACCTTCTCAGTCCCAGAGGTGGTCCTCTTCAGGCTGATACTTACTGATAAAAGAAAGCCTGGGAAGTGACAGTGGGCCTGTGTGTGTGCGGGGTATAAATGTAAGGCTTCAGAGCCCGGTGTTGTCACACAGTTAGCAGCTGCGAGTACTAAAATCACTGCATTTCTGGGAAACACTGAAACTAAATTAGCAAAAAGCTCAAATCTAAAAATATAGCTGCAATTCACAATTCCCTTTAATAGAACTTCATTTCTACACTTGGTGCAACTGCAGATATTTATAGATAGGGTGAAAAGATGGAATGGAAATTTGTATTTATGAATAATAAGGAAGTGCTGTGAATGGAAAAAAGAGAGGTTGTGTAACGCTTGCGCTGAAATGCTGACTTCTGCAGGGATGTCTCAGCAAGGATATTAGCTCCTGGTTCTGGCCCCGGCCCTGGCAGCTGCACACAGCTGTGTTGAAGTACGTGATGTTTTACTTTTGTTTATCCTCTTCTAGCTGACCCTGATCAAAGTCACCCCAGATACAATCGCAGCATGCATTTGAACCCAGCAGTGCCCGGACACGCCTTCCTGCTCCTGCTGAGCAGCTCCTGGTGCATGGGCGCCTCTGCCATGCCACAGTGAGGATCAACGAGGGTCGGAAAGCCACCAACCTCAGGTATCGCGGTCACACTCAGTCCTTAGCCTTTCTCTGGGCACAATGCTTTGCCGTATTGATCTCACTTGTGCTAAAAATCCTCAGAGAATGAGGATCTGTCTCATTATTTTAGATCGAAGCTGGCAACTGAATTAATATTAAAATGACGTACACGCACAACTCGCGTTTCCTGCGTTACAAATAACTGGAGCAAAGCGAATATACTGACATTAATAATTCACCTTATGAGCTTAGCTCCTTTTTCTTTGTATGGAACTTCCAGAAGCAGATTGCAATTTCCTCAAATTTATTCATTATTCAAATTAAGTCAATTTAAAAGAAAATGTTTACCTACTAGAGAGCTTGCATTTTGCTTCCATTTTCAATACTCTGTATTTGTAACTTGAACTGTTAGTCACAATAACATAATTAAATCTCATAATATGATTTCTGTCCCCTGGCTAGATCAAAATACAAAAATAGTGTCCATGTGTGTATGAAAATCAAGTTTTCTACAAATAATCTTTTCTGTATCTGAATTTCATCTACACGCATTCAAACTAAGAACTCAGGTGCTCAGATGTGTGGCAAATGATCATTAAATTAGGCAAAACATCTTCATTTCCTCACTTCTTTATAAAATAAGAAAATAGATTTTCTTTAGTAATGTTTAATCTTCCATGCTATACATTTCTTCTCCTTCTTCACTGGTTCTGCAAGTAAACAATTAGCAAATCAAGGGCTTCTGACAAAAGCGAGAGAGCTTTTACTTCTGGGAAGCCACCTTTGGGTTTCTGAAGGTCTGTGAGCCACAAGTGAAAGCCAGGGCTACAATGAAGAAACAAACCCTGCCAGGTGCCTTCAGCCCCTGGGCTGCCACAGGTAGTGTGTGTTACCCACACAACGGCTGTGTTTGCACAAGTGCCCATAGGACGTCCTGGGGAAGGATTGTAGTGGTAACAGAAGGCAAAAAAATAGCTCCTCCTGGTTATCCTGCATGCCGTTTTCACCTGCCTCTCCATTGCTACAACCCTTCTATCGGCTGAGCTGCCTGCCCTGGCCCCTGACACGCGGGCAGCTTGGAGCAGTACCTGTGTATTCAACATGTGGATCGGTCAAATATCCAAGACTGCATTCTGTGGGGGATTTCAGCCAACCTGGTCTTAGATGCCATGAAGCCAATGTAAGAATTCTAACACCAGTTTGCACGTGTACAGCTTTCAGAAATGAGCAATGTGTTTTCTGAAGAGCTGAGTCACAGCAGAAGCCACGCTGCCGTTCAGAAGTAGGTGAGAAATCAGGATCTGTGGCAGACATTTATGCTCTCGGAGGGCAGGGGTCTCTTTTCCTAAATGTATTCTGTCTTCTGAGCTGCAGTGCTCTCTCTGCGTTTTTGGAGGAGACAGAATAGATTTAGAAAGTGGCTGCTTATCGATTTATGGTCTTTATGCTGGACATGGCTTTTTATTAAAGAAAGCAGATACTCAATACTGTTAACTAGTAATGGGAATTGACTTTCCACTAATTGCACAGAACCTGGCATTAATACACTTTAATAGAAAATGGGCCTGCGCGCTCCTGATCAATCACGAAGTTTTTCCTGCCTGTGCTACAGACAAAGGACTCCAACAACAGCAACGTGGCTAAATAAGATGTTTTATTTATTTATTTATTATTCCTCCAATTATCAAGATAAGGACGCGTCTCCAGGGCACAAGAGAAAGGCTTTAACTCAGCTGCTCTTCCTTGGTCTGTCTGTCCCACGGGGACCATTGCTTCCTGGTGTGCCCGGGTCTCCTGCTTTGGGCAGGGAGCAGGATTTGGTGCAGTGGGGAGATGGCACGTCTGTGACCAGATAAATGTCCTTGAAGTAAGGCTGGCACTAGAAACAAACAGGTATTAGTATCAGCTTCTTTTAAACGCTGATGTTAATGTTACGATCATGCTACAAAACAAACTGTGTGTGTTCAGCTTCACCTTCCAGCTTCACATTACCTGAGCATGGGAGATTTTCAGCTGTGCTCCGCAATGCCCCAGCCCTGTGCCTGGGCTTGCAGGTCACGGGGCAGCTCTGGCCAAACAGCAGCAGTCCCCGCAGTTCTCTCTTCTTGTCCAGAGAGCTCATGGCCACCAAAGCCAGTCTCTAATGTCACCGAAGGCTGGTGGGTGTCGAAAGCACCCCGGTGTTATTTAGGAAGTGGGGTGCCTGGAGGAGCCTCTCGAAGGGGTCCAGCTGTGCTCGGCATGGCAGAGGAAGGCCGCTTCACTCACAAGTGCCACAGGAGAATTTTTTGTCTGCTCCTTACCAGAGAGGAAGACAGACGAAATGGAATCCAGGCTCGCTGTCCCACCAAAACTATCACAGAAAATGGGAACACTTGCTCTCTCAGAAAATAGTGACTCAAAGTGTAGTGAATGGGAGCCCGGGCCCCTTCTAAGTGCTATTGCCAGTCAAATAAAGCAAATAATAATAAAGGATTGCTGTTTTACTTCGAGCACTTAAAACAGATTGTTAAAACCTTGCTAATGGTTTGTGACGTTCAAGTGTTACACCAGCCAGCTCCTCGAGCCAGCCCCTGCAAATGGGCAGATTTTTCACCAGTTGCAGGCTCTTAAATGCCCTGAGCCCATGGCTCCATCCGAAAGCTTGGAGCACCCTCGCATTGCAATGACTTCTCGAATAGTCATAGGCAGCTTTCAGTTCTCCCATTTGCCTCCTCTGTGCCCAGCAGAAAAAAGCCCATTTTCTACCATCGGCATGCCTTGTGGTGTTCTAGGCACCAGCAATGAATGACACGGGGACAGACAAAGGGCAAAGCTAATTAATGCTTCATGCTAGTTAATGATGGATGTTCGTGTCATGTGAAAATCATTTTTAGCTCCCTGCAGTTCGCTCAGCTTGACTCCTTGTGCTGCCAGCCTGCCATCAGACAGACCCTGGGACGAGCCGGACACAGTAGCGCTGCGTTTCCCTCCATAGACACTAAAGCAATTCTGCAAAAAGAACCTTGAATTTTTGAAACCCCCTGACTCCCACAACACCCCTCCCATGATGAAGCTGAACCACGGAGGCGAACTCCCTACCCTGAAATCCCTCTCTTGGCTGGTCCCAGTGGCTACAGCTAGTTGTCATAGGGGGATGGCCAGGAGCCCGCCATCAGAAAAGACGGGCTTGGTCTGGCAGGCAGCTTGGGATGCAGTGTGAGCAGTGCTGATCAGTGGTGAAGCCACCTATATTTGCCTTTCTTTCGTGAGATGGCAGTCATTACACATGCAGTCACTCCACTGATAGTGCCAAACAGTTGGATGCTTCTGGATACCTGCAGCTACGTGGAGCAACTTGCCCCTCAGGAATAGTTTATTTAGTAAGACAGGACTTAAAAGTGAAAGGGTAACCACTTCTGATCATAACCTTGGCTTTGCACTTCTAGCAATTATGCTTTAATTGCATTACCCTATTTGAAATAGAATGGTAATTGGAAAAAAACAATTTGACGTTCCCTGATGCGTACTCTGACATGCGTTATTTGCTTTTTATTCAAATATAAATGTTCTCTGTAATACTATCAAAGAAAGGGGAAAAATAAAGCAAAATTGAAATGTCAGTAGCAATTTCTGACATGTGAAAAGCATCATCAACTAGGCAAAGGTTTTCAATTCAGCTTAAAAAGAAACCCAGTTGTGAAATTAGCAGTCAGAGAAGAGAAAGGATGTGAGAGGGAGAAGAGTCACAGCTCCAGCCCGTCAGGAGAGCTGGCTGTTGCACACGTTGGTATCAAAATATCAGACCAGCTACCAGCTGTAATTGTGTGATAAATGGCCCTTTCAGATTACATTGAAGCAGAAGATGCAGAAGGATAATTTCCAACCTTACTGTTCACCACTGAATAATTGCTAGGGTCAATAAAAGTCGATGAAACACAGGTTCCCTTCAGTCATACCCTGTGCTATGAAAAGCATCCTCACATCTTCCTTCTCAACCCCTCTCCGGGAGATCCAAGCAAATTACTCTGATCAGTGGCAACTTACACCGCACAAGTTGTGCTTGGTCTTTCTGTGAGGTCTGCTCCAATTAGTCTGCCTGGATAAACCACATACACAGAAAACCGTTGCTCGGGATACCAGCCTGTTTTGGGAGAGGTACCCAGCTGGGAGGCTGGGGGCATGCGTGAAAAGCTGGGTGCTGCAGTTCACTCGCACCTGGAGGAGGAGAAGCTGCAGACATCTTCTGCAGTGATTTTTATGATGGATTTCCTTTGTCAGCGGCCCTGCATTCTCATTTGCTCCATAACAGATCCAGCCCTATGTTTTACTTTGGAGAGTCAGCAGCTCACAGACAAGAAATCAACACGGGGGAGTCATAAACATAGTTGGCACAGATGAGGTTGGATAATTTGTGCCTTGTTTGTTTGTTTGTTTGTTTTTAATAATAAACACAAAACCAAAACACGACAGTAGGAAGAAAACCTTTTGAGAAAAATTAAATTCCGGGTTTGCCTACTGATATAATTGACTTTTGGCTGTTAATTAATTCCTCTGTACTTTGTACCCAGCTAGTTTATTACGGCTACATCCACATCTATCTGTTCTACCTTGCTGTGTTTGGTGGTCTTGTCCCTGTCTCCAGGCCTGACACTGAACTCCAACGGGCAGTATACAAACTTTTTCACTGGTGTAGAATGGATCTATCTGCTCAGCCTGCCTACCCAGGTGAGGAATTTGATTGAAGTCAATAGGACTGTTCATGTGAGCTCACTGTAAAACTTGCTATTGCCGGAGAAATATACAGACAAGTGGGCTTGATGGAACACCATGGCTGTAGCTTGATGGAGCCTGTGCAATTTAGGAGCCTGGCATGAGGTTATGCATACTACGTAAGTGTATTTAACAGACTCAGTAATGCTGATTTTTACTTTTCTTAGACTGAGCTCAAACTCCCAAGAAGCAGCACAAAGATAGTAAGTGAAAAGTAAACCTGAAGTATAATCACTCTTATTAATAAGGTTAACTGTTACGGAGAG